TCCATGGTGAACTGGATGCTCTCGTGAATGCTGTTGAGGTGGCTGAGGAACTCCGCGAGCTTGTCAGGGCCGTGGGGCCAGATGACAAACGTGTCGTCTACGTAACGGAACCAGCAGAGGGGCTTGAAGGTCGCCCCGTCCACCGCCATTTCTTCAAAGTTCTCCATGTAGAAATTGGCGATGACAGGTGATAGTGGGGATGACGGAGGCAGTATGACCTCTGAAACGTTGGTTAACATCGACCAGACTACACAGCGCAACAACCCAGAAGACAGAAATCTTTATTATTATTATTATCCCATCTATTCACGCACAGCCAACAAGCCCAAGACTCACCAGAAAATCAATCAAGAAAAACAAGAGTGGCTTGGACAAGAGAAGAAATGAAGGAAGTAGTTTGGTGTCACATGTATTGTAAAATATTTTATAATACATGTGGCACTTGCTAAAAACAATATGGATCCCGGAAATAGCTGCTGCCCTATGTACCTTAGGGACATAGTCTCGGTTACATGGAAGTACATACCCCATAAGGTGGTGAAGAGATGGGATGATAATAATAATAATAATAATAATAATATAATCCGTGGCGTAACAGCCCTCTCAGAGCCAAAGCCGACTAGCTTGACTGCTGGCCTCACGTTCACATGCCTAAGCAGAGGTGAACGATCATCCAACCAGATATAGGATGATGTGTGGTCAGCACGACAAACCCCCAGCCATTGCTAGTTTTCATGACAGCTTATATAACAGCTTATCGTAAAAAGCTATAAACCTAAAATGTTCCACTTATAGAGGAAACGTGGCAAATTGTTGATTTTTTAAATTTAAAGAATTAAATATAGAAGTACCCAAAAAGTTCGGCACGTAGAAAAAATGTTAAATAGAATTTCCGACACTACGATGATTTACATTTCAAATAACATAGAAAAATATCGGTATATTTTCCACTAAAGTTCAACTTGCAAAAACATGCATCTTGGAGCCTACTCCCATACCCGTTCTGATTCAAAGTTTCAATAATATTTCACTAAACTGTAAATGACTTCGGTAAATGAAATGGTTCACCGTAATAAAATAGCCAAAGAACATAAAATAAGAATTTGTAGTCGTGAAAGTAGGCCTACAGACTGCGAAGTTCCGTACGAGCCTCATTTAAGCATGGGAATTATTTTTAAACATAAGCAAACGATCGTGGAAGCGAGCCATTTGGGTGCCAGAGGAGATTCGACAGTTTCCTGTTTAACTTTCTTTGTGAATCAAGGATTACTGAGGAGTCCCTTATGCTTTCCTCGAAAGAGTTTATCAATAATATGGGGTCAACATTCGTACAGAAATGCAACCCAATTCCACAGCCAAATAACTAACCAAACAGACAGTTTCTTTTATAACAAGACATGTTAAGAGACTTATAGGTTATTTAGCCGGCCGCAGTAGCCACGCGGTCTGAGGCATGGTCCTCGTGCGCCTGGCCGCTGCGACCGTGGGTTCGAATCTTCCAGTCTGGCGGGTTAAGACTGCCCAAGTAAGGAAGTGCGAACCTACCGTGGTACTTTCGCATGAGCGCCCGAAAGGGGTCACGACGGTCAGATATTGACCAGAGACGACTAAAAAAATAGGGTATTTAACCATGCTGTATCAAGTACAGAGGCTACTTAACTTTGACTCAGATTATGATTGTACAAGGCGTAGTAGAAGAACGGGGGAAGAAGACGTGAAGGTGTGTGTTAATTCATCCAGCATTAGTCTGGAAAGACTGAGGAGAACCATGAAAACAGCATGACATTCGATGTTCCATCCGGAATTCGAGCCTGGTACTGCCCGAGCATGTCACCAACGCGTTGACGATTATGTTCTTCTGAAAGGATAAAGGCCTCTATTATTAACACTCATTCAGGCTGTACAACTCGAATTCAATCTCCTTGGGTTCCGATGTTCGTGTTTCAACGTTGTGCAATTTTTTTTTTGAATAATAAGTACTTTTGAGCACCTGAGCTGCATACATTCGAATCCTCTAAGTTTTTCCTAATAGTACGCGAAGGTCGGAATCAGTTTTTGTTAATATAATTGAAAGAACTGGGGTACCGAATCTGTAGTGTTTTCAAATTGAACAAAAATAGAGTAGGCCTGCCTATACAAAGCTTCCGAAGTCTAATATACCGAGGTAGTGTTTTAAACTGCAAGGCTTCAGGCTTGTTGTATTCGGGAAGTAACTGGTTCAAATCTGGATGGGAGAATAGGCCATGCTTTGACATTTCGATGTTTTTAGATGCCCTCTAACGAAGGGTAAAGCAGCTGGATCAGGAAACTGTCTACTGCCAAGTTCCACAACGCGTGGAGGGGGAGATACTGCAGGTACTGGGAAAGACCCGTTCTTCAAGTGCCTGAGCACTGCGGATCCCAACTTTTCGTTGGCTTGATCTATAGACATTCGGTAGGACTCCTTGGACGAGGGATCGGCCCGTCGCAAGGCCTCTACCTGTACACAGGACAGCACAACACAGAAAAACGCGGACAAACATCCATGGCTTGAGTGGGATTCGAACCCACGGTCCCAGCGACCAAGCGGCACAGCTTGTGCTCTTCGTTAAAAAACGCGAAACACATCCGAAAGCCCTGAGCAGTGCAGTTTCTCGGAGAGCCGATACAATGGGTCAAAACAGCGTGGTATCTTGGGGTGACCTGATCGGCGCACGTCAGCTAGGTGGAAAACAGGGAAACGCAACGATTAACAGGAAAAGCGGCCTGTCCATCAGAAGCGATTCGCTGCTCTACAAGCAGCTCATACGTCCTATGATGGATTTTGCATGTCAGCAGCCACGTCCGGAAGCTTCAAGTATTACAATCCAAGTGTATTTGCATTGCGAACCAACGAGCCTTGGTATGCTGGTAACGCAAATTCACGAGGATTTGGGAATTCCATTCTTCGCCACCCACATCAGAGCACTGACTGAGAGCTTCGACTTAAAGTTTGCTGAGGAGGGGAACTCCATAATTCGGCAACTTGGAAGACGCTTATGCCGACCAAGGGCTGGTTGATGTTTAGCAGGACAGCCGAAGCTGTTCCTGAAAAGACGGCCAAGTCGGCGCAACGAGTGGTCTAACCATTTGGCTACACTGACTGAGTTTTTCCGTGCTTTTCCTCAGGTGCAAGGCAAATGCCATGGTACAATTCAAAAGGGGCATGGCCCGCTCTCCCGAATCATGGAGGCTTTCAGCTGAAGTGATTCTCTCCCCCAAGCCGCAGTAGCCATCAGTCAAAGCGATTCACGCCCCTTCTGGGTTAAAATTCCACAGAGCCATGTAACCAAAATCCTTTCACAAATGAAAAGTTGATTGACGGGATAATCTCTAATCAGCAGCAATATACCCTAGTTCGAATAGTCAATCCTTTCCGCCAACACAAAATCCCGGTTAGCGTAAGCACACCCCCATTCTGGTTGTAAGACACTGTTTACTATTTCCAGTAATGCGTTTCTTTCGCAAGGATGGTGTAACATAGTAGGGGACGAAGTCTTGCGCAGCGCAGGACTTCGCCCCTAGCTTGCTTTTTGGTGGTTGGGTGGCTGATCACCAACATAGGTTAACTTCAGTACTCTGAGGTCGAGGACGAAGATGGTTCTCGAAACGTTGGTGTTTTTCTCCATTCAATCACTTGACACGGCTGGTAGTCCAAGAATAATTCATTATACCTAGTCGCCGTGAAACCTTCAGATCATACATTGCTTGTTGAATCTAAATGTTACAAATAGCATGGACACTGACGATTGTTCGAAGACTAAAATGTAAGCTAGTCCTCTTGTTTATAAAATGGAAACTATGTGTGTGCAATTATAGCTAAAAGAACAAATACATTAATTTGCACTGAACATAGCAAGCTTATTCCTTGAGACCAGAAAGACATTTAGAAAGGACAAAAATCCGAAAAATGTATCCAAGAAACGTAGGCCAGAAAATCGTTGTGTCCGAGTCCCAGTGAAAATGTTTCCGTTATTTGAGAAAGTATAAAATAGCCACAGTATAAAGACGACACCAAGATCAGACTTTGTTTCTGCGAGAAAATTGTAGGAACAAAGGTCACAACCACGAATGTGTGTTGTGGGTCTGAGACCCGGTGAAGACGTTTCTTCCTGTTATATTCAGTGACATATATCAAATGATCAGGCCTGTGGAAAGGTTTTGTCGAATTTGCCCACAGTAACACTGTGGGCCCTCTGTTAGTAAGAGGACAATACACAAACAAAACGTAATTGGTTAAATTGCACACAGTGGGTAATTCTGATTTATTTGCCATGTGAATGACAATAATCGTCCGTTGGCAACACTGTTGGGGATAGCACTTTAGTCCACCACTATTGGCGACCATGTTGTAGTTGAATTAGTAATGGATACTGTTTGAGTTGCTTGCGTATGAGTTATACAGGAAACTTTGTTGCTACTGATTAATATTAGGTATTTCACAATGTTTGGCCGTAGGAAAGAGGAAAAACGCCGTATGAATGACGGACGTGGGTTGTCACAGGTGGGCATGGAAATTTTAAACTCTTATGTTTACTACCAGGAGGAAGTATGTGAAGTTAGTAATACGATGGTTCCTTTTTCTAAACATTTTCCCCCTGATTTTAGGTTTTTCACAAGGTATTATGCGTATCACCGTGAAGAATAAAATTGACCTCTAAATTCTTGGTGGTCATATAGTTACAGTTTGTTGAGGTTGTAAGTAGTTGAATAAATCAGTGCAGTTTTATTAAATTTGTTTCAGTCAAGCTTTGGATGCAACTGCAATTTGGTGTATCATTTCTTTCTTATTCGTGATATAGATAAGTTACCAAGTTTCTTGGATGTGTGTATATGTAAGAGGTTGAGTTGTACTTCCGTTTGTCTTAATGGCATGGTGCTTAGTTAAAGAGTGACAACTTTACCCATTACAGTGCGATATGCATACCATCCATATCAGCACTGCCACCTTCCATGCTCACTGTATGGAATGTATATCTTAGGTACTCAGTTTGCTTCTCAGAAAATTAAAATGTAGGATTACTCATCAGATATCTAATGAATTGTGTGACATTCATATCTGTTATGAACGTGTTTTATACAAATTCAAACACATTTGTCAGTTTTCAGCTCCTGGCAGGATCATCATGATTCACTGCTAAGTGCTACAAGATTTTCCTGTAGTCAAATATTGCTCCGTAAAACATAAAATTACTTTTCCATTTTTTATGTGCTGAAAATGCTGTTACTGTACAAGCACACACACTCTATACAATTTGAATACATTTAAATTATGTTAAAAGCTACTTGTGGATTAACTCCAGTATTGATTATTCTGGGAGGAAACATGTTGGTGCAAATGAAGCCATGTTTTATCTGTGAAAGAAGACAGTTGATGGTCAACTTCACTGTTATGAAATGCTTACAAAAACCAATTGCAGAAATTAATCCTGCTAGCCAAGTAATGAGGTTGCAAACCACATTTTATTATGTGGTATTAAAGTAAATAGTATATGTGGTATATTTATTTAAAGCAGCAGATGAGATAAGAATCACAATTGATTTATCATATCCTTTAGAATAAAGAAAATAAATGAGAAGGAAACAGCCAAAATGTTCCTGTGTTCCAGAATAGTTGCATACCAAATAAAAGCCTTGTTTAACAGCTTTCAATTAGTTCAAGAGTAAGCTCTCTATCTCAACTAGGACCAGAGTTAAAAGCATTTTTGTAAATCAGAATTAGGGAACATTTAAAGAAAATCTAATATTTCAATAGGTACAGTTTAGCTCAGCTGGTGTAGTGACTGGCTATGGACTGGACGACCGGGGTTCGATCCCTGACAGGCAGAGGATATTTCCTCTAGCCTCTGCATCCAGACCAGTTCTGGGGCCCACCCAGCCTCCTATCCATTGGGTACCGGGGTCCTTTCCTAGCGGTAAAGTGCGGGCGGGGCATGATGCTGATCATTTACCCCTAAGAATGAGTGGGAGTTATACTACTTCTCCCCCCAAGCGCCTATATGGCGTATAGTGGGACAGCTTTACTTCATAAGGAGACCCAACAAGTTTCCAGAATTTTATTAGAATCAGAGATGGCCTTGAAAATGTTGCCTCTGAAGTGAGATTTAACATAGAAAGACACTGTATTCAGTAGCACACAACAGAGAATAAATACAAACAAATAAGGGTGAATTTATATGTTTTTTTCTGAGAGAAGTAGTTACCTGCAGCTGGTCAATATCAAATAATAGTGTGTGAATGAGTTTAGGTTTGATAATTTAAAGTTTATTGGATCCATTTTCATATGATTAGCTGACATGTATGCTTCCAATTGGCATACCTTCGTCATGAATTAGTTAATTTTGCTTATCGTGGTAGGCCAGTTTACAGTGCTGTACCTCCGGAAGTACTTTGAACTACAAACCTTGGGTCTCCTGTGTCAAGGAAATAACATATATTGAAGGTAATTGAGAATAGAGTGCTTAGAAGAATACTTGGATCTAAGAAAGAGGAAGTAACAGAAAGCTGGAGAAAATTTGGTGGTAATGAATGTTACTGTTGCACTTCACAAAATACTGTTAGTTGGAAAACCTGAAGGGAAGAGGCCACTAGGGAAACTTATTTATAGATGGGATGATAATATTAAGATGGATCTTAAATAGGGTATGAAAATGTGGACTGGATTCTTCTGGCTCAGGGTAGGGACCAATTATCAGGTTGTGAACACAGTAAAAAAATATTTGGACTCCATAACAAGCAGAGAATTTCTTGTGCAGTTGAATAACTGCTAGCTTCTCAAATGTTTACCTACGTAATTACTTGAGTCTAATATTTTTGTTTGTATAATTAGTTTCAAGTTAATTAATTTTGTCTTTTGGGTATTCCCTTTTCTTCTTCCTAAATGTTCTACTGGTTTCATGTCTTAAATTTTGCACACTATCTCCATTGATCATAAAACTGAAAAAAAGTGATTAAATACTCACATGGTAGTTTCATTTTTGTTGCTTACAACATTTTATCCATCATTCTTCTGGTGAGGTTGACTCCATATATCAGTGTGGGTTCCATAACTATAACTGATAAAATTTTCTGCATACACCATTTAGTAGAAAAAAAATGGGAGTTTAATGGGACAGTACATCAACTAATTATAGACTTCAAGAAAGCCTATGACTCTCTCAAAAAAAAAACACTTTATAATATTTTGCTTGAATTTGCTATACTTAAGAAGCTAGTCAGGTTAATTAAAATCTGTTTATGTGAAACCTCAAGCAAATTCATGTGGGTAAACATTTGTCTGATACATTTCCTATTCAGAATGGCCTGAAACAGGGAGATGTTCTATCACCGTTGCTTTTCAATTTTGCATTAGGATATGCCATCAGGAAAGTCCAAGATAATCAGGGTGGTTTGGCACTGGATAGGACACATCAGCTGTTGTTCTAGTTGATGATATTAATCTGTTGGGCGACAGTAAATACTGTAAAAGCAAACTCAGAATCAGGGTTTGAAGGGTTGTTGGCCAAGAAATAAGTGCAGAAAAGATAAGTATGTGATCATATCCTGGCACCAGAATTCAGAACAGAACCAGATTATAAGGATAGCTAATGAACCGTTTAAAAATTATATGACAAAATTTAAGTACTTGGGGACAACACTAACAAGTAAGAATAACATTCATGACAAAAACAAGAGCAGATTAAATTCAGGGAATGCTTGCTATCATTCAGTCCAAAATCTTTTGTCCTCCTGTCTCATAAAGAAACAACTAAAGGTTAAAATATATAAAGTGTAATTTTACTAGTTGTGCTATATGGGTGTGAAACTTAGTCTCTCACTTTGAGGGAGGAACATAGATTTAGGGTTTTTGAGAACAGAGTGTAGAGGAAGATATTTGGACCTAAATGGGAGGGAGATGAATGAATCATAGAGAAAATTGTGTAATGATGAGCTTCATGGCCTGTACTCCTCACCTGATATTGTTAGGGTGATTAAATTGAGGAGGATGAGGTTGGCAGGACATGCGGTATTTTGTGGGGGATGGGAGGAGTGTTTACAACAATCTTAAAACCTTGCATACAATGTAGTGTATTGGAATATAAAATATGAAGGTATTGGTTGGTAGGTCTGTCAGGAGGAGACCGGTGGGAAGACTAGGCTTAAGTGGGAGGATAACGTTAGGGAGACAGGAAATGACGGAGTGAACTGGATTCAGGTAGCTCAGGAATAGAGTCTGGTGGCGGGCTTTTGTGAACACAGGGATGAACCTTTGGGTTCCATAAAGGATGTGGGCTAATCCTTGACAAGCCGAGTAACAATTGACTCTGCAAAGAATATACTGCAACATAGGGGGAGAGTTTCATTTGCAAAATTAATTATTAGCATCTATAAAGAAAAGTGGGTAGTGCCACATACCTTGGTTGCCATAAGCCCTCGATGCTATTTTCGTTCTCTGAGACTTCTGAAGCTTTCTCCTGGCACATCCAGACACTTGGTATGTGTCAAATGAACCCTGTCTGCCTTAAAGTCTACATATTGTAGGTCACCTATGTCATTCACAGGTTTGCTGGAACTGCCAGCTCCCACATGATGATATGCCAGAGCCTTTGCTCCTAGTGAAATGACCTGTATAAATGGTAAAGGTAATTTTATCACAACTGGTGAGTTCTTGCCCCCAGCTGTCTTTTCAGCTTCCCTGTGTTTTCTGGTACTTTCAACTTCCTGAAGTGTTGTGCCAGAACTGCTGGCTCCCTGCTAAGAGAAATCAGCTATCAAATGAAGGCTCCATGTTGGAGAACTTTGTACAGTTTCCACCTACTTGAAGGCTACATACATGTTTAAGTCACCTCAGTTGACAGGTTATCTGGAACTTTCAGCCCCCTGTTGTATGCCAGAGCTACTGCTTCTTTCCTAGGCATGCAAGAACTGCTAGCTCCTGTGGTGGTATGCTGTAGCTGATGTCTCAGGGAGGTGACCTCCATAAAATGTAAAAGTAGATTTCTCACAACTGGAGAGTCCCTGCCCCTATTTGTCTTCTTGGCTTTCATGGGTTGGTTGATATTGCCAGCTCCACAAAGTTATATTCCAAGATTACTTGTTTTCTGCTGGGAGAAATCAACTTTAAAATGGAGGCTGTGTATTAGAGTACTTTTTGAAGGCAGAAAGGTTTGCTGGAACCACCAGCTTCATGTTATGATATACCAGAGCTGCTGGCATCCAGAAAGGTGACCTCTATAAATAGAAAAGGCAAGTTTCTCATAACTGGTGGGCTCTTGTCCCTAGTTGTCTTTTCAGTTTACCCAGGTTGGCTGATACTATCAGCTACTCAAGGTGGTATGCCAGAACTGCTGCCTCACTGTAGAGAAGGAAGAATTGTCTTTCAGGTAGAGACTGTGTCAGAGAACTCATTTATATGGCTTTTGCCATTTCTCATTTATTATCTTAATTAATCATGCTGAACTACAAAAATTTGCCTTTGCTTGGATTTGAGCCTGTGACTTTTTTTTTTAAAGTTATGACCTTTCTGAAATCTCTTTCTTGTCTCAAAACCAATTGTGGGGCAAATTGGTGTATACCTCCTTGAACTTTGAGTGAGCATTCATACACATTTACCCACAATTTGAATTTTGTATATAAGATGAACAAAAGGTCTAACAATAATGAGTGAAACAATTTGTTATTGTTTTAGTTTGGACTGTTGGATGTACCAAATCTAAATGATTTTGGAAATATTGAAGTGATGGGAGGAGTGGATGATTATGAAGATGATGATCTTGAGGCTGAGTTGATGGCTTTGACTTCAGGAAAATCTCCTACCAGGCCAAAACGAGGTGTAGTATGAAGAAACTAACTAATACAGAGAAGGTTACATATAATTAAGTCTTTATCTTTCTACTATAAAAATTTGTGATTCCTCGTTGTCGTCAACAAATTACGTCATCAACAATGTCAACAGATATTTGTTTACTCGGCTTTGTTGTGGAACACAACAATGCAGAGTAAACAAATAACGCTTCACAACAAAGAAATCAAAAACTATCAACCCAGTTGCATTATCACTGCTCCAGAAGCAACATATCGCATTCTTGAATATTGACTGACAGTTGGCCTAAAACCTCAGAAAAGTGAAAGAAGAAGTTATCGAGTATTTGAAGTACCAACTCCAACAACTCCTACAAGGTAAACTGATACTCATTCGATATATTACGATTACGAAAGTATTATTTAAACTGACTTTTGATCGATTTTAAGACGAAGATTTGCAGGGGTGGGGCTGGACGTAAGTAGTTGACTGAACAAGAACTGTTGGTCTCTGAACAGCGACGTAAAGAACTACAACATCAGACATATTTAAGAAATAAAGAAAAGCGAAGTAAGACTTACATTGATAAAAGTAGAAAAACGTATTCAACAAAAACAGAAGGGAAAAAATCAGACGAAGATTTGAAAGGGTGGGGTTGGACGTAGAAAGTTGACTGAACAAGAACTGTTGGTCTCTGAACAGCGACGTAAAGAACTACAACATCAGACATATTTAAGAAATAAAGAAAAGCGAAGTAAGACTTACATTGATAAAAGTAGAAAAACGTATTCAACAAAAACAGAAGGGAAAAAATCAGACGAAGATTTGAAAGGGTGGGGTTGGACGTAGAAAGTTGACTGAACAAGAACTGTTGGTCTCTGAACAGCGACGTAAAGAACTACAACATCAGACATATTTAAGAAATAAAGAAAAGCGAAGTAAGACTTACATTGATAAAAGTAGAAAAACGTATTCAACAAAAACAGAAGGGAAAAAATCAGACGAAGATTTGAAAGGGTGGGGTTGGACGTAGAAAGTTGACTGAACAAGAACTGTTGGTCTCTGAACAGCGACGTAAAGAACTACAACATCAGACATATTTAAGAAATAAAGAAAAGCGAAGTAAGACTTACATTGATAAAAGTAGAAAAACGTATTCAACAAAAACAGAAGGGAAAAAATCAGACGAAGATTTGAAAGGGTGGGGTTGGACGTAGAAAGCTGACTGACCAAGAACAGTTGGCCTCTGAACAGCGACATAAAGAAGTAAAAAATCAGATTAGAGAAAGTGCTCCGAATAAGACACTAAATTAACACCCCAAAGGGGGATAGTTTAGTGTCTTACTCAAGAATTTAAAACGCAACCAACCCCCCTCCGGGGGGGGGGGTTTCGCCAAGTGTTTAAAACCTCATTCGGGGGGTTAGTTTAGTTTCTTACTCAGGGGTTAAAACACTTGAATGAGACACTAAACTAACCCCCCCGAAGGGGAGTTAGTTTAGCGTGTTACTTAAGATTTCAAAAAGCAATGGTCAATTGTTTTAACTTTCAATTCAGGGCGGTTAGTTTAGTTTCTTACACAAGGTTGGTGGCGTTTTACAAACTTGACCAACTCTCCCTAGGAGCTCCGAAAGGAGCGCCCTGCTCTAGTTATAATAAAAACCTAAACACATGAAAAATACAATACAGTTTCCTGAGAATATATAAGAGGGTGCAGTTGTATAGATTCCATAAATTTTTTAAAGAATTTCATTGAAACAAAATGCAAATATCAGACTATTTTTGATTTTATAATTTTGAGGTTTAGCTATAAGGTTAAGCTTTAGAAATTGAATGAATATTACCTTTATAATAAACCATCTGACTTGTGCCAGACCTTGGTAAAGAAGCAGTTTGGGTCACGATGTTCTGGGTTATGGCACTGTGTAGTCTTGTAGGTGATTACTTACCTTTCAGAAGAATATATCACCAAGCACATGAAGGCTATAAGTTCGTACATAACATTGGTAACCATCTGCAGTACTGTACAGTGTCCTATCCAGAAGGCCACGGTCCTGTTTTTCAACACTGAAAACCTTAAATCTCAAGAAACATTGTGTCTTTGTATTGGGATTTTTCTCAACTTCATTCCTACCTGTGCATTTTGCAAGGTTCTTGCCATAGGTAATGTCAGTATTCAGTCTTTTCAACAGAGCTCTTAGTTTTCATTGATGGATTTACGTGCTTTGCCGCAGTGATGTGAACAAAATTTTTGTGGAAATGTAAATAATTTTTCTAAGGCTTACTTAAAAGAAAGGAGTGACAGGTTTGAAGACATCATATACTTTGGATGCCACCCTATAGTACTATTTAACTGTCTCTAATCAACGGTACTGACATTGTGGCTATGTGAATCCGAAAGCTGGAAACAATAAGCCCTTGGAGATTTATATGGTGATGTACATCTTTAGTGCTGAAGATGGCGGCAATATGTTGCTCTGAAACATTGGTATGCAGGCGAAAGACTGCATGATGCAGCAACACACAAGCCAACTTCCTACACCCAAATTGCTGTGAAAACTTTAGTTCTTACATTTAATACTTGTTTCATATAAATAAGTGGGAAGAGATAATTTTTTAGAGCAGGGGTCATCAACCTTTTTATACCTACCGCCCACTTTTGTATCTTTGTTGATGGTAAAATTTCCTTACCGCCCACTGGTGCCGCACGTACTGCCTACCACCATGAAAGAGGTACAGCTCGAAGAATGAGTGATGGCTGATGGTAAGCCCCGCCGTCGTTTTGCGCACTAAACTCGTGCCTTTGGCTATGGAGCTCATTCGTTGCTCCCTCGTCCACGAGTATACTTCGAGAAGTGTCCAGTGAATTATTATCTATATTCAAAGTTTAGAGATGGAATTCAAAAGTAAATTGCAAAAGCATATTTTAAAAAGTCAAACTCGCGAAGTTGTTAGCAATGTATTCGATATATGGAGGAAGAACAAAATTTGTAACATCGTACAAAAACCCCCACCATGAAAACTTGAATCGCCCACTGGTGGGCGGTAGGGACCAGGTTGACGACCTGTGTTTTAGAGCCTACAGTTTGGGAAGAAGGGTTCCATGTTTATGTCTCACAGTGTTTTGAACTCAGATATTACTTTGCAGTTCGTCCAACTCCTGTAAATATGGATGTGATGGTGTCAGAATGTATGCGGGATATCCCTACAGATGAAGAATTATCAGAAGATGAGAATGATTCTTATTTGTTGGTAAGTATCTATCTTTGAATAATTCCATATCTCTGAAGGGGTTGGTATTTTGAGAATCAGGTATGAATTTTTCGAAGAACTGATCCAATAGGTGAGATTTCAGCTTCTCATGGTGGCAACTATGAAGGCTGTCTTCTGGGTTTTTGTGCCGTGTAGTCTGATAGAAGTTTACTGACATTTCAGAGATGTTTGCTGCCTCCATCATCAGGGCAATGAGTAAGCCTTGTGTGAGGAATTGGTTTAAGATGTGGGAACCAGTCAGACAAGTTGTTCTGATGATGGAGACAGCAAGCACCTCTAAAATGTCGGTAAGCTTCTACCAACCTACATGATGCAACAACATAGAAGGCTGCCTTCTTCACTGATCCATTAGCATAACCAAGGTTTTATTTTTGAAAGAAAGATTATTTTATTAAATTAATGGTGCTGTTGACATTAATGATAACCACATCACCTAATCATTCCCTTGTGCACTATTTGAAGTAGATGTTATTCATAATATCTGATCAAGTTTTTTTCTCTTGACACTAAATCACACTTTCAATTACCTCTTGAGTGTGATAATGTTGGGTTGGCATGCTAAATAACTGATATTAGGTTTGAACTTGGTACAAACAACTTTTCCTATTAATGTAATTGTAAAAGTTTGCGAAATACCCATTATTTAAGTGTGAAGTGGTTAACATATGTACCAGAATATTTGGACCAGTTTCTTATTCTTCTTTGGGTAGACTTGCCCCACATCATACCTACTTTTCAGCATGGCTTTAATTTTATTGAATTTCAAAATGTTATGAATGTTTAATATCTTTTCTTCACACATGAAATTAATCCATAATGTTAGGAGGTCATACAGTATGGCCACTGACAGAGATAAATGCAATTGTTACTTCTCAGCTTGTTACTTCATGACTCACTGCCAAACACTACAAGTTTTTCTTGATACAAGTCAAGTATTGTTCCATAAAAACAATAAAATGTACTTATCTTTTACTACCCATTATCTGGTAGTAACAAAATTGAGGGAGAGGCTTTCAGTAAGTAGAGGGACTAAGCAAAATTTTGACACAAAGATTTGATAAAAGTGTGGACCTCAACAGGAAGTGGGAAAATGTCAGAGATTGTATAAAAATTTCAACCAAAGGGAAACTATTATAGGATACTACAGGAGAAAGCAAAATAAACCATGGATTGATGAAGAATGTTCAGAATTAATAGATCAAAAGAAGCAAACAAGACTTAAATGGTTGCAGGACCGAAACAGAACGATTACGGATAATCTATGTAACATGAGACGTGAAGCTAGTAAAACCTTTAGGAATAAGAAAAGATCTGAAAGGTAAAATTATTGAGCTTGAAACAAATAGTAAGGACAAAAATAGCAGATATATATATATATATATATATATACAGAGGCATAAATGATTTTAAGAAAGGATATCAACCTCAGACTAATTTGGTAAAGAATGATAATGGCAGTTTACTTACAGATTCAATCAAAATTTTGAGTAGGTGAACAAATTTCTTTAACCAGCTCTTACATGTTCATGGGACTGATGATGTTAGACAAATGAAAATACATACGGCTGAACTGTTAGTGCCAGTACCTCGTTTAGATGAAGTTGAAAAGTTGTAAATCTCCAGGTATTGACCAAATTCCAGCAGAATTAATTTAAGCAGGTGACAGAAAGTTGCATATGGAGACCCATAAGCTTATTCAGTTAATTTGGGATAAGGAAGAGATGCCATAACAATGGAAGGAGTTTGTAATTATTCCTATTCATAAGAAGAGGAACAAGATTGAGTGTGGTAATTACCAAGGACTTTGTCTACTATCAACCTCATACAAAATTTTATTAAACATTTCTGTTGGCGAGATTAACTCCATATGTGAATGAAATTATTGGGGATTATCAGTGTGGGTTGATGTAACAGATCAACAATTGATCAGATCTCCTACATCTGTCAGTTACTAGAAAAAATGGGAGTACAGTGGGACCATCCATAAATTGTTAATAAATTTCAAAAAAATTTACAACTATTAAGAGAGAAGTGTTATATTCTCATTGAATTTGGTATATCAAAGAAGCTAGTGAGTCTAATAAAAATGTGCTTAAATGAAACTTGTAGTAAAATTCATATAGGTAAATATTTATCTGACTCATTTTCCATCAAGAATGGTCTGAAACAAGGAGATGCTTTGTCTCCATTGATCTTTAACTTTGCGTTAGAATACGCCATCAGGAAAGTCCAAGATAGGCAGGAGGGTTTGGAATTGAATGGGACACATCAGCTATTGACATAAGCTGACGATGCTAATGTATTGGGTGACATATAAATACAATAAAGAGAAACAAAAGTATTAAAGTAAATTCAGGAAAAACCTAAATACATGTTAGTGTCCTCTCAGCAGACAAGTGGGCAGAATCATATTAGGGTGGCTAATAAATCCTTTGAGTGTGACAAAGTTCAAATATTTGGGAACAGCAATCCATGTAAATAAAACCATGCTTTAACAAAAGAACATTATGGATGCCTGTTGTGCTTGAAACTGTGATCCTGGAAAATTTATAGTGTAATTTTCTCCATCTAAGAAACTAAAGGTTAAAATATACATCATCATCAATAACTTTACGGATTAGGCCACTGTGCCTGTTTCATCTCCTCGGGTTAATCAAAGCTGGTCCTTCCGTTTTTTTGGTCGTTCGATGTTCCTTCTTCATGATGGTTTGTAGAGCAGTAGTCTTTGTGCGTTAAATATACAAAACGATAATTTTGCCTTTTGTTTTGTATGGGTACAAAACATGGTCTTTCACTCTGAGGGAGTAACATAGATTGCAGGTTTTTTGAGAATGAGTGTTGAGGAGGATATTTGGGGCTAGGAGAGAAGAGGATGCTTAATGATGAGCTTAAAAATCTGTACTCTTCCCCTAGTATTGCCACGGTGATTAAGTCAAGAAGAGTGAGATGGGCAGGGCATGTGGTACGCATGGATGGGGGCTAGAGGTGGGTACCAGGTATTGGTCAGGAAGCCTGAAGGGAGGAGACTGCTGGGGAGACCTAGACATGGATGGGAGGATAATATCAGGCAGGATCTATGTGATGAGTTGAAGGAGACTGGATTTTGTTGGCCCAGGACAGGGTCCGGTGGAGGGCTTTGGTTAATTCGGCGATGAACCTTCGGTTTCGGTAAGCCATCTAGTAGTTAATCTTTTAGTACAAGAGGTGCTGAAAATATTGTTCCTGTACGTACACACACATGTGCGCTATACCATTTAAATAGATTTAAATTTACCTGCAGAAGAAAAAGAATTATGTCAATATTAGTGTCACATACTAATCAGAATTAAATGTTTCTACACAGAATGTGTGCCCAATAATTTATTTAGCATTTACTCTCCACCACACCAACTTTTATGTTATGAAGAGAAACTTTGTAGATTAAATATTGATTAACAGAACTCCAGTAGTGGTTATTGTGGGAGGAAACATGTCCATGTAATGAGATGATAATGTTGCGTCATATTGTGATGATTATAATTGTTTAATTTTAACCGTCTAATCACAATAAAATATTTTATTAAATATTAAAATATTATTATTACAATTAACATTTAATATTTAAAATATATTAAAATATATTAAATGTTAATTGTAATAATAATATTTTAATATTTAATAAAATATATTAAATATTAAATGTTAATTGTAATAATAATATTTTAATATTTCATAAAATATTTCATTGTGATTAGACGGTTAAAATTAAACAATTATGTCCATGTAAATAAAACCATGCTTTAACAAAAGAACATTATGGATGCCTGTTGTGCTTGAAACTGTGATCCTGGAAAATTTATAGTGTAATTTTCTCCAATGCTTTCTAATGGAACCACATTTTACGTAAGATTCATATGGAGAAGCATTCTGTTTGACAGTGTATTGAACCATATCCACACACACATAAGAGGTGCGATCGGAAAGTTTCTAGACTGCGCCTATAAAAACCCGTACACTTATCTCAGGTATTAAATTCATCCATCCCCCTCGAAGTAGTTCCCCTGGGAGTGAACACAACGATCCCAGCGCCGCTGCCAAGCCTGGAAGCATCCCTGGAA